AAGGGGGGAAAGGGGGGGCGATTCCCAAAAAATCTTGTGCTGACCCGGCCCATCTGTCAAATTTTAAAAGTCAATGCGGCCCCCGAGCCAAAAAGTTTGCCCACCCCTGTCTTAGATGATAGTAAGAAAGGGGAGGCACAGACTGTATTTAACAATATAAAGCCTCATAATGAATGTATCCATTTATTGCATAGGCGTTTGGGGCATGTAAATTTTAAAATGCTAAAACGTACAGTAGAGTTATCTGATGGAATAAGGTTAAAACCTTGTGATAAATATTTGCGTTGTAATGTTTGCTGTGAAGATAAGAGCAAAGTATTGCCTGCAAATAGGTTAAATGGTTTCAAAACCAAAGAACCTTTAGAAGTGATATTTGCAGACATCATAGGTCCAAAGAAACCCAGTATGGGGGGTGCTCGATATATACTGAGCATTATGGACCACCATTCTAGATATGGGTTTTGCTACTTAATGAAGAGCAAAACTGAAACATATCAACATTTTTTCAACTGGCTTAAATTTGCAGAAAGAAAGACTAAACGGCAACTGATAACCCTGGTGACAGATAATGGTACGGAATTTGTTAACAACAAATTCCAGAACAGACTAAAGGTAGCTGGAATAGAGCACAAGAAGTCTGTACCATACAGGCCAGAACACAACGCATTCATAGAGAGAAGAGGCCAAACACTACAGGCAATGGTTAGAACAATGTTAACTGATTCTGGATTACCTGATTCTTTGTGGGGGGAGGCTACAATGTGTGCTAATAACATATTGAACAACGTTGTTAACACAACGACAGGTGAAATACCATTCACCAAGTGGCATGGCAGGAAACCTGACCTAAGTTACCTGCACACATTTGGTGCACCAGCATGGGTGCATATCCCTACACAACTCAGGCATAAAGGGCAACATAGAGCTAAACGATTTTTCTTCGTTGGTTACCAGGCAAACCATAGGGCATATAGATTTTGGGAGAAAGGCACATCTAAGGTGTTATGTAGTGCTAGTGCCCAATTTCTAGAGCACGTAGGATGGGAGAAGTTAGAACAGGATACCAATAAAGAAGTAATTATTGAATCCTATAGAAATCCCATTAGTTATCCCTGTAACTTTAAGAATAAAGTAAAGAGAGAAATACAGGAAGAAATAGAGCCCATAAAGGAAGAAATAGATCCAATAGCTGAGCAGGATGAGGAAGATGAACAGGTAGTAGTTCAAAAAAAGTCCTCCTGCAAGCCCTGTAATTCCCAGAAGAACTACACGAATATCTAGACCGCCTGATAGGTACCAGGCTAAAACAGTGTGCCAGATTAATAAAGTTCCATGTACTGTAGATGAAATAAAAATGTATCCTACTAAGGATAAGGAAAGTTGGTATGCAGCAATGAATAAGGAACTGAACTCATTAAAGAATATGAAAGTATATGAGAATGCGAGATTACCTGTAGATATGAAGTCCATTGGCTGCAAATGGATCTTTAAGGTAAAATCTGATAAAGATGGAAATATAATCCATAAGGCACGATTAGTAGCCCAAGGTTTTAGACAGAATGCCAATGACTATGATGAGGTGTTTGCACCTAGTCTTAAGGCAGCAACCTTGAGGGCAGCTTTAGTGTGGGCAGCTAGCAAAAAATATATAATTAACCACCTAGATGTGGAAACCGCTTACTTGCACGCCCCATTAAAACACACTATATATATGAAAAAACCTGTTGGAATTAAAAGTGAAATAATAGATAATAATGATCGTTGGTTGTTAAAAAAAAGCCTATATGGTCTTAAACAATCAGGCTATGAATGGAACCAGTATATTGTAAAGGAACTAAACAATATAGGATTCAGAGCTGGGTTAGCCGATCCATGTCTATTTAAGAGGGAGAAAAATGGAAAATATCATTATTATTATTGTTCACTGATGATATTGCATTAATTACTGAAACTAATGATGAGGCCAATAAAATAATAGCATCATTAGGAAAGAAAATAAAGATTAAGCAATTAGGGGAGATAAAAAAATATCTCGGTTTAAATATACAGAAAACACAGAAGGGTTTTAAGATATCTCAGGAAGATAAGATATGCAAATTGCTAATAGATTATAAAATGGAGCTTTGTAAGCCGGCTAAGACTCCAATGAGTCAGGAGTTTAGCAACACTGATGCACAAAGCCCGGGGTTTGATAAGGTAATTTATCAATCATTAATAGGTAGTTTGTCTTATATTAGCAATTGGTCTAGACCAGACATATCGTACAGTGTAAATCAGTTAGCTCGTTTCAATTCTGCACCAAGTGAAAGACACTGGATTGCAGCTAAAAGAATATTAAGATATCTTAAAAAGACAATGAATTATTCATTGTATCTAGAGCCAAAAGGTGATCTAATTCTGAGTGCTTATGCTGATGCTAGTTTTGCATCAGAAAGAGACACAAGAAAGTCGACTTCAGGAACAGCCATAATGCTGGGTAAGACATTAATAGGTTGGAAGTCAATAAGACAACAGCATATAAGTTTGTCAACTATGGAGGCAGAATTCTCCTGTTTATCGCTATTATGTACAGAATTGATTATGTATAAGCAAATGATGAATGATATAGGCATAACTGTGAATTATCCTATAATTATACATGAAGATAATCAGGCAGCAATTCAAATGGCCACAAATATTGCAGTCAAAACTAGGAGCAAGCATACAGATTTAAGGTACCTAAACGTTAGACAATCTGTGAGAAGTAAAATGATACAGCTGGAGTACTGCATGTCGGAGGACAATGTAGCTGATAATTTTACAAAAGCCCAAGGTGCCAGGAAGCACCAGGAGTGTTGTGAAAACTATGGGGTTAGATTGTAAAGGTATTATATATTTATATCACCCAAAAGGGGAGAATGTTAGGTATAACATTGATACCCAACAAGGTTTGGGTGGATAAATATATAAACTAAGGTATCATAGTTTAAGTGTTTGTAACTTTAAGCACCACACTGCATGTAATTAGTCAATTAAGGGTGCGGTTAGAAACTGCAATAAGAGGAAGCAGGAGAAAGCTTGCTGCCTACTGCCTACTGTTTTACTGTTTACCGTTTGCTGCTTACTGTTTACTGCTGTTTACTGCTGGATACAACTGTTTACTACTGTTTTACTGCGACTGTCTACTGTTTGATCGTCCTACTGAATATCCAGCGTTATCCTCTGGAGAAAGGCATCGGAGGAGGAGAAGATATCTTTATCGGCTGATAAAGATATAGTAAGGACTATTATCTGGACTGAGTTAGTGAGTCTTACTGAATGGATATATTGTGAATGACATACGGACTGATTGACAATGCTTAAACTCTAACTGGATTAAAAACTATTTAAACTACAAACAGTGTTTGTGTTCAGTGTGTGTCTACTCTAAAACCCTTCCTCTCTCATTTGGCTACCTGGCTTGACTGCTGCTGCATACTTTGCTAGGGGTTTATCCCCAAACACTAACACTTCCCATGGAGAGTCACTTCCTTATGTCAGAGAACAGATGGTGGTACCTAGTCTGGCAATTAAACAACTACATGGGAAAAAAAACCAAAGCCAGAGAGCACCAAGAACCCAATAAAATGATGAACCTCATTTTGACATGCTGTCAAAATATTGCTTTTGCAAGATGCTACACAGGCTCATGGTTCTGCATGTACATTTTCCTCTTGTCCTTGCATACCCCTGAAAAGATTTTTCTACTTTGTTTTTCTCTGATATCTTTGTTTAAAACTTACAGCAGGCACCATCCTTGTAGAGCCATGTGCTGCCCTGGCAGCAAATTTATATAGGGGAAAAACAGCTGCATCAGACCATAATGGTGTTGTACTTTTTTTGTGCGTGCCAGGAAGGTTCATGAACTTTCACCCAATGGAATCAAAATCAAGAATCGGTAGGCTATGAGCAGAGAAAGAGGAGTCAATTAATATTTTGAGCCATCTACATTTCTGAATATTTTTCATTAAAAAAAAAATCAGTATCCACTGCTGTGTTAAACAACCTTAAGACAGCAGCACAGCCCTGGTCATATTTGCATGGCAGGACAAATATAGTCTGGACTGCCCAAGGTAATAAGTCAAATTGACAGGGGCATTAGATCATGTTATCTTGGTAGCAGCCATCTTCGATAGCATCCCAGCCATCTGAGTAGCTGGCTGTTATTTCTTCCGTCCTGTTGAAATCTTTGTAGGTCTTGACTTGGAATATCTCAAAAGTTGTTGAAGCTTAGAAAGAAATGAGGGCAAGTAGTTCCTAAGAACACTGGAGCTCCAGGCTTCAAGCCAGATGCAAATAAACCTAAGCAGAGTCAACATCCAGAAAAGTGTTTACTTTTCCTACGAAGGGACAGAGATTTAATTCATATTTATTTGTTTTTCTAAAAGTTATGCTGCTCTGTGCTTTTTGCTGCAGTATGCATCAGCAGGGAAGAAATCCAACTGATAGCAGAGACAGATATGTTGGAAGTAAGGCACAGCTCAGTTAGACCTTACTGGTAAAAACAATTCATGCAGCTTTGTACAGAATTTCCATCTAACTTAAACTGGATCCCATTATTTACATTTGCAATCATAGCATATTAGGAATCAATTAGCCCCAATGGGAAATAATACTGTTTTTGCATAAATGGTGCTAATTGGTTTAAATAAAACCCTAGGCACATGCAACTTTAGAGGAGAAAGTTTTCTTTACTTTACTTTTGCTAACTTTAGACTAACTCAAATGTGGAATGTAAAGATGAGCAGAAAAACTTCTTAGAAGCTGAAGGCCAAATGTCTGTGAAGACAAAATATGTCAGCAACAGAGAAAATGCTGCATGAGGAAGCTCCTGTAATTGTGATTTGTATTATGTTAATTCAACTATCACTCCAATATTCTCTGGAAAGTATAAAGGAAGACATTTCCCCAAGGTAAATGAGCTCAAGAGCAAGGAGATACCTCAAGTCCTCCAGCAATTTTTTGCAAACCCCATACTATACCTGTCGGCAAGATCTCCAAAGATTACAGCTCCGATAAGGACTCCCAGCATAAACATTGGCTGGGTTAATTTTGCAAGCCATTCTTGCTGACAGACCAAATCCCACTCCGTTACAATGGTGCTCTGCCAATTGGTGTGATCGTAGATGTATCCATCAGTACAGTGAAAATCAGTTTTGCTGCCACTATATTCATAAGTAAATCTTGAGGCATTTTCTCGTTTAGACCTGCTGCATTGATTAAGCTCCCAAATGTCTCCATTTTCCAGCTGGACCAAGATGTAGCTTTGTGTTGATGTCCAGAGACTCCAAGCATCCTCTATGTTTGAATGAGATGAATTGTAAATGAGGACACGACTCACATTTCCAGCAACATTACATACAAACTTTGGTGTTACAGCCAAGAAGACAGAAGACAGGTAATGGATGCCACAAGAAATTGATTGAAACACAGCGGCAAAGTAAATCAACGCCTGGTATCTGCAAAGGAAGACAGAAAATTCATAATATTTACCATCTATAACTTCAATTCTTCAGAAATAGTCCTATTTAATTTGCTACTAATATAATTTAGTGCAGGTTTTTAAGTACAGGGTTAGTATTATGGAGGGGGTCAATATAACCAATGCGTCATGGAAGCACATGGTAAAATTATATTGCCATTTTGTTAAATATTTTGAAAACAATTACCAGAAAAGCAACTCTAAAAAAAATTGGCATTTGTTTTCCTGAATCCAAGTTCTAACCTAAAGTGCAAGCAGAAAACAGCAGGGAATATTTACATGAGGACTGGCAAAATGGTTTTTCTGCGGACTTTTAAAAAATTTCCAATTAGTTTTTATTCTCGAAATATATTTAAAAAATTTCTCCAAATTGTTGCTTCCATTAAAAAAGGAGTAAGCTTTAATAAAATGGACGCTTTGCACAAGCCTTTAGTATGCCGTGTTTAAACCAAATGGATAAAATTATAGTAAAGGTAAATTAAAACATCTAGCATCTGTACCCAAAGAGAAAAGTCTGCGTCTAACTGAAGCAAATATCAAATTTGACTGTGACAAGATAGGCTAAAATCAACCTCACCCATTACCCAGACACCTATTTAAACATTACTTTCCTTCTTTTCCATATGAATATTTATCAGACACAAGCATCCCATAACTTGTAATATTGATCTTCCTCAGGTATCAAGAAAAGGTGGAGAAAGCATCAATATTTAAGATCCAATCTGCTGAGGGATAATGCTACACTACAGCCATGTCCTTAGTAAACCCTGGCATCTCCAGCTGTGATTTGTGCTTTTCCACTGCTGTGCAACAGGCCAAAATTCAACCAGAGCAAGTTTCCCAGTCATTTTATTTCCACGCCGAGAAATGCTTGACTTCCTGAGACTCTAATGGTCATGTAGTTATTAAAAATGCTGGAAGTATTACAGAATCAAAAGATCAGAAACAGCGTGACCATTGTTTAGTATCTTTATACATCTGCCCCTGTGTAAACAACGGCCCCCTATACAACTAAAATTCTTTGGAAAACCCACAAAGATTCATAGCAGACATGTGTGGCCTAATTTCCAAGGATCAGCCAATTTCTAAATATAGACAACTCCATGCCTTCCACAGCAGGACAGGATGGAAAATAATCATGCAATAATGAACTTTATGCTAATATGTTTACACAACACTGTTAGCCGCATTGAGCATAATAGTCAATGAGAATAATAAACCTTATTAGCATTTAAAAATTCTTCCTTCCTTGCTTCACCATAAACGGGGAAAAGGTCATTGCCTTCATTCTGAAAAGTCAACATGGGGAAGTCCAAATGATTATGGACACTATACCATTTCAGACAAATGGTTTTTCAATCTCTTTTTGAAAGCCTCCAGTGATGAGAAGTTGCACCCACAACTTCTGAAGGTAAGCTATTCCATATCTTGCTATACCTATCAGCAGATCTTTTACCTTTTCCTGGACTTACATTATAGCCGTGCCAGCATAGGGCACAACACAACAAATATACATTTGAGTTCAGTTGCCATTAGGGAGGCCATGACAGGGTGCCTTCAATCTATCTAATGATTTCAGTATCTCACTGGTTAGATCTAGAATATCAGATAATTTCGCTTGACTGATCCATGCAGCATTCCCAGAGAGGGATTTTTTTCCAATAACCCCTACATTTTATAAACAGGGGAGAAGCTCAGCTAGTCTTGTTCTCAGTGTTCTCTTAGCGATGAATTCCAAATGTGTTCCTGAATCCTAGAATTTATTCAAGAAAGAAATAACAAGTTAATTGCTATAGCTGGGCTGACTATATTGAATGTGACTGTCCTTAGTTCTCCTGGATTTCCTTTTCTTTTTTTGTCTAGAGCAGTGTTTCTCAACCCCAATAAGGTTGACTGGGGAACTCTGGGAATTGAAGTCCACACATCTGAAAATTGCTGAGGCTCAGAAATACTACACTGGTCTAGATATTTGGCTTTGTTGGTTTAATAGAGGATTTTCTCTATAGCAAGATTACACTGTTAAACAGATATCTTATCTTTTCTTTCCTAGGATAGACAGGAGGTTTATACATTTTTGAACTGCTGACTTCAAGGCAAGAAGACTGAGGGCATCTTCCTTTCTACTTCCCAGAAGTTTGGCTGAACAGAGATGTCCTCAGTAGAAGGGCAAAGATCCTACAGCAAACAGACAAGTCTTATCAACACAGTTCCTTTTTAGTGGAGGTTCATGGAAGAAAATCTGCTTTTAAATTACCAGCCCTCCCAACAGGTTGTACTGTACAAATTGTCCAAAATGCCATCCTGCCATCCTGTTCACCTTTTTTTTTTTCCTGTAGCCAAAAAGACGATTCAAAACACCCAAAATTCAACATACATATGCAAGCTTGGGTAAGATTGGCAGTATGTCTTAAGAAACATTAACTTTTGCTTTATAAACTTCTTTCCTGGACTTTTTATCTCTTTGGGCCCTTCAGTGACAGCATTTCAGTTATTACTTAGCCAGGCAGATCCTATCTAATTACCGTTATGACTATTTTTTCTATTATCTAATCTTTAGACCTCCAAACTATACACTTGTTTTGGAGAAAGAACTGACTCAAGTTGCAGTTTAGATAAACCAGAGATTATTTACTTTTTAAAAATCTTTTGAACAGCATTTCATTCACTCTGCCTTTTAAAAATATGGTTCATTTCCTCCAATTCCATATTCATTAAAAAAAAAGAATGTAAAATAAATTATTTATTCTAATTTTACTACATTGTTTCTCTCAACCCTGACTTTAGAGATTGGTTTCTTAAACACTTGCCTTGTCTTCCCCCAAAAGAATGCAACGTTCTAAACTTTTCTATAGCAACATTATTTCCAAAAAATACAGTCCAAGACTTAAAAGAAGAGTGTGAGAAGTATGCATTGAAATTTCCAGACCTACCCAGTCCCCCAATGGATGAAGCCAACAATTTCAGGGTTTAAAAAAAATAATTTGCAGGAATTTAATGGTCAAAATATAGGTAGTCCTCAACTTAAGACCACAATTGTGCCCGAAATGTAAGTTGTAAAGTAAGAATGTGTTATATGAGATTTATCCCATTTTATGACATTTCTTGCCACCGTTGTTAAGCGGGTCACTATAGTTGATAAATTAGCAACCTGGTTGTTAAGTGAATCTGACTTCTGCATTGACTTTGCTTGTCAGGTCGCAAAACCCTAGGACACTCCAACAGTCATAAGTATGAGTCAGTTGCCAACCATCTGAATTTTGATCACGTGAGTATGGGGATGCTGCAACTGTGAAATATGGTCATAAGTTATTTTGCCATTGTAATTTTGAACAGTCAGTAAATAAACTGTTGTATGTCAAAGACTACCCGTATAGAGGCCTAAGGCATCTATTTCGCAGCTTAGAAGCCTCTTCATGACTGTAATGGTGAGTGCCTGTAATCCTAACCATCTGAAACAATAATTGTGGAAAGTCTCTTTTGCTGCACAAAACCTGTTGCATCCCTTGTGCTAATGGAAGTTATGCACTTCATAAATGACATTCCTCTGAATAGTGTGCAGTTTAATCATTCTGAAACAAGCTTTCTCTTATCTGATCTTGTCTGGATGTATTTGTTGGGGTTCGCCAGCAGCCTGTGCAGACGGCAGCGGAATCGGACAGTGGGGAAGAACGGGGACCAGTCCAGGAGTCTGGGGGCAATTTGGACGAGGGTCCTGTGTCCGATGCAGAGATGGGGCCAGGACCATCTGGGAGCTGTGTGCTGACTCCGGAGCCTCGAGTCTGGCAGCAGCAAGGCAGAGGAACAAGGGGAGCCTGTTCTCAGTGCGCATGTGCACAGAGCTGCTAGAAGGCAAGAGCAGCTAAGACAAAAGGGGCAACTCAGGAGTAAGGCTTAGAGGTGATTGCCCCTCCTCTAAGGTATAAAGGAAGTGCAAAGGTAGAGAAACCTTGAGGGACAGTTTGGGACTCATTACGGGCTGGGAATGAACATAATTCCCAGCGCTGAAATAAAACAAGAGCTGTTTGAACTAAGCATTTGCTTAATTATGGTCTCAGAAAGCCTTGGTCAAAACAGTATTGAACTACAAAATTCATAGTTCTCAGCCAATACTACAATGAATCCCAATTTTCCAAGATTGTGGATTTGGGGTTTTCATGAGCTGTAAGCCATAATCATCTCAATTATGACACATCATGGCTTGAGCTATCTTGCTTCGCATGTAATGAGTCTATCTCATATATTAGGTTCACCTTTTAAGCTGCATTACTGAAATAAATGAACTTTTGCACGATATTCTAATTTTTCGAGTTTCACCTGTAAGTGGGCAGAAAAGTAGAAAACATTCCTCTTCCAGACTTTGACTTTGCTTGCAATCCTTGCTGTCTTTGAAAATTAAAGAGCAAATTTGCCTTTATAACATAGGGCAGGCTAAAAAAAAACCTCCGTTACTTACCTACTGCAAAATAATTCATAATAAATACATAAACACTTTTATGCCATTTTTAAGAAAGCTAAATTATGTGAAACCGAGATGAAGTATAACATTAAATGAAGATTTTGTTTTTCTTTTAAGCAGGGAACTCCCTACCATCCTGTGAAATCTGTGAGCCTCGTAATTATTTTTCCCCCCTTTTGGTCCTTCCAAACCACTTGATTTGTTGCTGCAGACAGAAAGGTTACTGTTGGGCAGGACACACTTAACGTGAGTGTTTTCAGGAGAGAATTTCTCTAATAGCAGATCACCAAAAATAAGTACTGCTGCAGTTTAAGTTTTCTCCCCAATGAGAAGAGGAAGCCAACAGATAAAGAGAAAAGATTATTCAGCAGCAATGGTAGGATCTATTCTGTAGGAGCCAATATCAGTACTGGGATTGCTATAGTAGCAATAAACATGCATAGCACACTGTTCTTTTCTTATTAATGTAAGTTTTTACCTTATATGGTTAAGCACAAACATAAGCACTTTGTTCTCTATATATTCCCTGTATGGGTTGAATTGTCATTCCTCCACCCTGGAATATCTTGACATGGCATTTTCTTATACATGACCTGCCCACTGAGAGATAATAGGAAAGAGCCTTGATTCAGTAGCTTTTTTTAATGACTGCTCATATACTTTTATTAAATGTTATTTGTGCCTTACTGTTGACTATGTTTCTCTTCATGAATTGCAAAACTGTCTGAAAAGGAACTCCATACACATGCAGTTTGACTACAAACAATTCACCATAAATGTTTCTTTGTATGCTTCTGGATGTCACAGGAGGGCAACTTTAATCACTTCTTATGGTAAGAAATCTGTAAAAGTACAGATCTGTGAAATCTGTAAAAAAAATACCTTTAGCTAACTGAGCTGGGAATGTCCAATCAACACAGCAGCCTTCTCCAGCTGGATATCTGCAATCCAGGGGTGCAGAGACCACAACTCTTGGAATTCTGAGCTGGCATAGCTGGTTTGAAGATTAACAAGGTGAAGCAGAGTAATCTTTTGCAGAATAGATTTGTACACTCCACTACCTGCCATGCAGGCAATCCATATGTTACAAGAGTTAATAATCTTCATAACAGATCAATGTAAGAATTCAGAAACTGTGGGAATTAATACATCAGAAAGCCAAAACACTTTATTCAAAAATATTTAATTTATAAAAAGAAGCATGCACAACTTCAGTCAAAGCCGCTGAAGGCAGTTTCCAAACAAGCTAAAATACAGTATTAGTTGCGTTGAATCACTATACATTCAATAAGGACATACTATGATTCCATGAGTAGTCTTGTTTTAGAATTGCCTTACAAAAAATGTGTGTATTAAAGAAATAACTTGTACATTCTTGTTGAAGTAGCCCCTCCAGACATTGGGGAAATGTAGCCAGTTGGAATGAGGGGAAAGCATAATTAGAAGATACCAAAAATATTATGCATTCTGTTTATCTACAGCAGAGACATTTTGGACTCACCTAAAAGTTTTCTTATAGCAAATATTAAATTACAGACCAGCTTTAGCTAAGGAAGAACTATATATGGAAGACATGGTTCAAAAACATTGCAGAGGATGGCTTGAACATGAATGAAAAAGACAATGGTCCAAGATCTGAAATGAACTTAGTACCCAGGTTAGTAGGTTAAGAGATGGCAGAGTCACATGGAGTCAGTTTACTGGTCCAGAGACTGGTAATTGTGGCATGATGCAGACCATGCAGCATCCATTTTAAAGGCTGTGGATCATTGCACACAGGAGGACTTTTTTGCAGCCAATTCAAGAGCATTGAAATGTACACAACAGAGGAAAGAAATATGACTTGTTGAGCAGAAATAAAAAGAAATGTGAGCATTAGGATCAACATAGAAATCAAAATTAACCGTGCTGTTCTTTATAAGAGTCACTTGGGAAAGCACAAGGGACTTGTCCATTTAATTTACTGCACTTTTCATGTTTATCCGTTTTTCTGCATCTCTGTAATTATGTGCGGCTCCTTATTGTGTAATTTAGGTACAAATCTCAAAATATCCGTCCCATGTCATGTTTACATACCACAATGGCAGAAAGATTAGGCCAAGATGTACCTTGTGCTGAATTATGTATAGTTATGGATAGTATTGACCTAGAAAAATTCAGTCCAAGTCAACACCCATTTTATTACGCTGTTGCCCTGAAACTTGAAAATGTTAAGAAGCTACTGGATCAAATATCAAGTTCACCAAACAACTATCTGTTCCAAAATCCTAATTATGATAGTACTAAATCCAATCCATTTTCTTCCCCACCCATGCACACACCCACTGATTGTTCAAGTCAACAAATAGAAGGGAAATTTAGAGCACCCTTAATGTGTAAGTTCTCAATCTCCAACAGAATTGTACATGCTTTCTCATCCTTCTCTTGCTTAAGGGATGAAATACCTCTTCACTGAGAAAAGGCACCAAGCCAGGCAGCTGTGCCTACCCCGGAAGCCTCAGTTCCACCCACAACAACCAGCAGCACAATTTGTGCAGGTGAAAAACTCTTTCTACTTCTTTACAATTTGCTTAAACAGCAATGCTTGGATTGCACCACAGGGCTGAAGATTGTCCCCCTATCTTCCTTCAGGTCATTTTCTAAACCTTTTTTTTTCTGGATGCTCTTATAAATGGCAGATAAGGGTAATCTAGCAGTTTTAGAGGGAAATCAACATGGAAAAAAGGTGTGGGAGGAGGGTAGGATGAAAATATGCTTACAGACAAGAACAATACCATCAAGTAGCTTTCATCTGACCATCTAAGGAACTAATCAATCAATCAATCAATCAGAATAGAGCTGGAAGGGACCTTGGAGGTCTTCTAGTCCAACCCCTGCTCAAGCAGGAGAACCTATACCATTTCAGACAGGTGGCTGTCCAGTTTCTTCTTAAACACCTCCAGTGATGAAACACCCATAACTTCTGAAGGCAGTAGAACTTCTGAAGTTCTACTGGTTAATTGTCCTCACTGTTAGGAAGTTTCTTCTTAATTCCAGGTTGCTCCCCTCCTTGATTAGTTTCCATCCATTGTTTCTCATCTTGCCTTCTGATGCTTCTTTGTGGCAGCCCCTCAAATACTGGAATCCTGCTCTCATGTTCCCCCTAGTTCTTCTTTTCTCTAGACTCACCAAACCAAATCCTTCACCTTTCTTCATATATTTTAGTCACCAAGCCTTTAATCATCTTAGTTGCAACTCTTTGCACTTTTTCCAAGGTCTCAATATCTTTTTTTTTTGTAATGTGGTGGCCAAAACTGGATATCGTATTCCTAGGCGTGGCCTTACTAATGTCATGGCTTCAACTGGCTATCACAATCAAGGATCATGTTCTCTGCTTTTCAGACTTAAGAGAACATTTGTGAGAAAGAAGACAAGAAGAGTCATGTCAAAAAATTGTTTGAAATTTAATACACTGCTTTATGGCACACCTGGGTTGGTATGTGCTTCCAGGGAGTGTCTACTGCAGGACAACCAAGCAGAAAAGTGGCCACAGAATCAGGAAAATAATTTGTCAGCCTGTATAACGTACAAATGTATCCATTGTGTACCATTCTCTGTTGCATTCTGATTATGTGCACTTAAGTCAATGTCAACCTTTAGTGACCACATAGATTTTCTCTGTGATGATCTGCCCCTAACCCGTTTCTTCAGGTCTTCCAATAGTGAATCCAACAGCACTGTAACTGAGCCAATCCACCTTGCCAGATGCATTAACATCTAAATATTTTGTCAGATATTCATTCCAATGAATTCCTTATTATATCTCACTGGATTCCTCGACTTATGACCAAAACTGAGCCCAACATTTCTGTTGTTAAGTGAGATATTGGTTAAGTGGACTTTGCTGCAATTGTTAAGTGAATCACTGCAGTTGATAAGTTAGTAACCCAGCTGTAAAGTGAATCTGGCTTCCTCATTGATTTTGCTTGTCAGAAGGTTGCAAAAGGCGATCACATGACCCAGGGACACAGCAACGGTTGTAAGCATGAATCAGTTGCTAAGCATCTGAATTTTGATCACATGATCATGGGAATGCTACAAAGGTTACGGGAATAAGGGTCATAAGTCACTTTGTTCAGTGCTGTTCTAATTTTGAATTGTGACTACACTGTTGCAAATCGAAAACACACATTTGAATGCCAGCTATCCTTACAACTCTAGCTAGCTTACAATAAATAAATGACAATATACAGGAGGCATATTTTTTTTTCAAAAACCCAATTAACAAAATAATAGAGCTATTCTTAAGAGCTATTGCTACCTCTTGCAAGCTCTATCTATCGGGATCCCTTTGAAACATTACCGTATAAAATATAATTATATTATAGATTGTTACGTGTAGGATGCAGCCCTTCAAAAACCCACAAAGGGCTCTGTCTTGCATCATAAGGCTAATTTTCACAATCTTGAGACACCAAATGACATTGGTGTCCAGTGTCCATTTTGTTTGAGCATTGGCTGTTATCTGGGGATGACAGAACTTGTGACCAAGCATCGCTTAGAAACTGAAGGCTGGGGAAACCTCCACATATGCAGACTACCAATAAAGAGGGGCACGCAGACACTTTCCTTCTGTTTTCACTTTGTTAACTAAGTTTTCTTGGATTTATATCATTACATGGTGCAAATATGGGTTGGTCCAAATTTAATCATCCTTAAGAATAAATCAGCTAAAGTTAGTATGATGTCTTGATTACCCTGGATTCCCGGATTCAACCAACTATTAAAATAAATATTCTGATTTCTGTATGCACTGCATTGAAATTTCAGTATTTTCAGTTGTGCCATGCAGTGTACATAAAACTATATAATCTATCAGTCCAGAATCTTGTTTTTTTTCCCTCAGTATATTTTCTGCAGTGAACAACTTTACACATCCCAATATTTGTTTATGTATTTATTTATAACATTTATTGGCTGACCATCTTACCATAAGGTATCTCTCAGCAGCTTACAGTCATTAAAAATATGTCTATACATATACATTAAAACATAAATAAATAAAAATAATTAAACATCATTTACTTTGAATAAATTTTCCTAAAGACAGCCAGACTGAAACTTTCTTAAAAGAACAGGTTCCTTCTAAATTCAACATGGTTTCATCATCTTGCCATCAAAAATCAAATATATTACAGTAATTGAATAAAAATAACTGAACACACATTTACATGCGCGCGCGCATGCACACACACACACACATATATGCACATGCATACATATACATACACATATAAAACAAAAGGAAATAAACTATTTTTCAGCAGTGATCCTTAAGAATGTTGTTTCAGATTTTAGGTTTGAAACCTACTTGATAAATCCCAGATAATATTTATTCAGCTGGAACACAAAATGTGTACTATTATTTTTCATTTTGTGTTTTTAATTTGTCAGTGTGCAAGCCATGTTCCAGTATTTACTCTTAGAATTGGGAAATGTATCTCTATTTGGTTAGGGAGGGGACGGGGGAAAAAAAGGCAAAAAAAAATGTGTGCAGCTCTGTAGCGCACAGGAAGGCAAAAACTAAGCAATCTCTAGATTCCTTATTCTCAACAGTTTAATACTGCAACTTGAAAAAAACAAGCTATGTTTCCATAGTACAAGAAAC